AATGTAATATATAGTGTATATTCCCCAGAAAATCCCATATTTTCTGTTTATAAAAGTGTTGTGGTCTTAAAACCCTAAGACCCGAGTAATGAAAATGTATAGTTCGTACTTTGTATCACGAGTATAGTATTTGTATTTCGTAAATTTATTATGTTTGTTAATCTCTATGTGAGTCGCTATAACCATACTTGATATGACTGATATGCCTGTCATGACGTTCTTCAGGCGTCGGTTACGATAAAACATTTGTCACCCTAGACTGGCCCGTCTAGCTGTAGTGAACAGCTCAGGTGCGGGGGTGTCAACTCCGTATAGATCTATACACAAATTCTCGCTCTCCCTCCAGGAGACTCTGGTTATAACTACAGGACTGATGTTGTACACTAGGTAGATACGAATGAAGGCGTGTCTCACAAGAGCCTTAACTAAATCTACGCGAATAGTGTATCACATTATTTATCGTTTTAAATAACGTTTCGAGTATGCATTATAAAAATATATTTGTTTTTATCAAAATGCCAAATACTTATTTGTCATTGACCCGCTTAATATAGTATGTGTCATAAAGGCCCAATTAGGAATGAATTACTAAGCATGACCCAATAAGCATGTGAATGAGTAAATAAGGCCCAATTAGAGTAAAAATGTCATAAATAGTCCGTTTATTATCAAAATGATCGTTTTAGCTCAATTAGTACCAAAATGTCATAAAAGGCCCACTTTTATTAAAAATAGCCATTTTGGCCCAACTAAACCGAAATTGACAATAAAGGCCCACTTGTTGTCAAAATGCCATTTTTGGCCCATTAAAAACTGAAATTTCACGACAATTGCCCATTTTCATTAAAAATGACATTTTAGACCCATTATGGCTGAAAGTTATAACAAAGGCCCATTTTTGTTAAAAATGGCACTTTAGGCCCATTATGGCCGAAAATTTACAATTAAGGCCCATTTTTGTTAAAATTGTATTTTAGGCCCATTATGGCCGAAAATTTACAATTAGGGCCCATTTTTGTTAAAATGACAATTTAAGTCCATTAAGGCCAAAAATTACATTTTAGGCCCATGAAACCGTGAATTTCCAAATAAGGCCCATTTTTATGAAAAATGACCATTTTAGCCCGTTAAAACCGAAGGCCCAAAAAGAAGCCCATTTTGTCAAAAATAACACTTTTGAACCCCATAAAACAGTGAATGTCATAAAAACCCATTTAATCCAAAAATGACTCTTTTGACCCCTCTAAAATCGTGAGTATCATAAAAAGGCTCAGTTTTGCTTATTTGTCAAATATGGCCCCTCATTAGGTTTTCTTTAGTTTTATAGTTTCCTTTAACATGTTTAGTCCTTTCAACATCATAATGAGTTACATAAAGTAACTTGTTTTCCTAATATCTTCAAGACTTGGAAGATATATCGAGTTTATGAGTGTTTGACAAAGTTTCATAACATATTTACACAACATATCATGAAAATACACACAAGCATGCATAAATACTTAGATTTAACACAAAACCAACTTGTATTCTCCCCCAAAAGTTAGTAAATCACGAAAAAGAAGGGGTATGAAGCTCACATTGGTGTTAGTTGGGTTTGGAAAAGGAGAATGAAGGAGATTTCGGCCTAGCTAACTCCTTTGGGAAGATTTTCGAACTTAAGAGGTTCTAGGAGGCTTGAACACGAAATGAAGGTAGTTATGAGAGTAAATTCTTAGCACAAAATGGAATACAACATCTTGAGTATGATAATGACTTACTAAAAGAGATGAACTTGATGAAAACTTGTTGAAACATACACCACCTCAAGGGTTATTGGAGGAAAAATGAAGGAGTTCTTGAAGGTTTAGAGAGGAATTTAGATGTGGAATGAAGTTTGAATAAATTTTGTGAAGGAAAGAATGGCCTTCGGCTGAGTTTAAGGAGAGAGAAGAGAGAGGATTAACTTGGTCATTACATGGAGGTTTAGAGAGTTTGAACTTAGAAACACATGAGACAAATTGCATGGATATACAACATGCATTAGTGAGGTGTCAAGTATTAGGATAATCACATTTCTTTTTCCTTTTTTTTTCTTATCAAAACCGAAGATATGAGGGGGGGGGGGGGAAGAAGAAAAGAATTTTAGGCTTGGAATTGAATAGCAACCGAAAATATGTGGACCAATAAGAAATCTTTTCGGTCCATTGGGCCCACATACAAGCTTACGGCCCAAAAGGGGTAAAAGGAATGGGTTTTCGGCCCAATGTGGTTAAATGAGTGAGTTTTCGGCCCATAGAAACAAAGTGAGTGATTTTCGGCCCAATAAGGCCCATGAAGAGTCTTATGGCCCAAAATACTATTGTTTAATGAATGTGGGTCCAACTAGGGCCCAAATGTCGATTCTTGGCCCAAAAGAATCAAGTTGAGGGGTTACTGACCCATTAGGCCCAATAAGAGAATCATGGTCCAATAAGAGGTTTGAACCGGGAAGTTAGGGTTTCAAGCCCAAAGTTGAGTGAATGCAACATATTAAATTAGGTTTAGAGCTTTCACGAGTGAGTTTTGACTTGAATTGTCGTTTGTGAACGAATAACTTGCATTATATCAAAATTAGGGTTACAAGATACGCTAAAAGTTATTTACACATGAACAAAACTTCCTAGCCCAAAAATGCTAGTTGTGACAGTACGTGTGAAATCCTTATGTATCTTACCAAACTTACCAATCTGACGTATTATTTTGATGTGTATCTCAGGTGACTGTTAGTAGGTGATATTTTAGAGATGCTTGAGGGTTTTATGCTTTTAGCCATAGAGTTATGTTTGGTTGCTACGTGTAAGCTTTTACTTACAAGTTGATATACATGAGTTGACATCATGTAGATTTTTAGTAATATATGCTTTTAAAAAAATTGAAATCAAGGAATTTCCATTGTCAAATAAATGATTTGTTTTAATAATTGAGATTAAATTGGTTCTAAAAATAGCAAAAAATGAAGGATGCCATATTTTCGCTGGCCACCACCTACTTGCCCTTTTCCACTTCTAACAAAAATACATAATAGAAGTACGACTTCCCGATATCTATACGAAAAATAGTTATCTTTGGAAATTTTTCAAAAAACACCAATTATACTACTTTGGAACGTAAAATGTACGACTTCCCGACATCCAAAGGTCAAGTGTGATATGTGCATAAGAAGCACTTGTTGTAAAGACTACAATGAAAAAATATTAGCTCAAACGAAGTACCTAAGAGAGAGTTATGAATGCTCAAAATTGGATCATTTTTCATAAATTTCACAAGATAGCCTAATTTGGAGCTAAAAAAATTATGACTTCCTGACACCTAAATTTGGAGTGTGATATGTCCATGAATAACCCTTATTACAAAGAAAACAATGAAAACAAAAATAAGCTCAAACGAAGTTCGTATGAAAAAGTTACAAAACTTCAAAGTTGGCTAAAATGTGACATTTTTGCAGGTTGGCACAAAAATCTAGGTGTCACCTACTGGAATGTAGATTATTTGGCTAATTTTTCTATTTATTGGCTAAATTTTGAAAAGTGGTTCGCAAGATTAGCTTGATTTGTCTTTTTTTTCTCTCTTGTTTATGATAATGGACAACTTTATGTTTAGTTAATGACTTATAAAGTTAATAGTCTAAAATATCACATGAGATAAAATTCGATAGACTTATGAAATCCGATAGATAGAGACAAAGTTAATTGTTTAAAAGTATAACATCATTCATTTTCATAATTGGTCTAACACCTTGTTCCCAAGCTTTAGCAAGGAAAGGAGAAGAAATTGACATAAAATATTGAAAATAAAGACGGGAAAATAAAATGAAAGAAAATTGTATTTTATGTTTTTGAGTTGGAGATCAGTGTAAGGAAAATAAACATTTTTTTTATTTCTTTTCAAATCCTTCCATATTAAAAAAAAAGACTACCATTCCACTTCCTTTCATTAAAAAAACTCATGAACACCATTTTTTTTTCTTTTCACTTTCATCTATTTTCCTTTCCTTTTAAGTTGAACTCGGAACAGAATGTAAATATATTTTTATGTAATCGGTTAAAATGGATGTGAACACACAACTTTTAGGCATACCTTAAAAAAAAACTCTTACGGAGGAGGGAGTCAACAAGTTGCATTATATCAAAGAATTATATGCATATTCACGGTTTCCTAGCCCACAACTTACCCCGTGAGAGGATTCCCTCCTCCCTTACGCATTGTTCCCGAGTTCTACTTAAGGAGAAAAAATGGGAGGATACGGAAGGAAAGTGAGGGGCGTCGAAGGAAAATCATGTTCCCGAGTTTGGAAGGAAAGTGAGAGGAGGGGAAGGATTTTGGAGCCATATTTTTCTCTCAAATTGGGCGGATTTGGGAAGAAAGTGAGGGGAAGGAAAATTTTAAATTTTATTTTCCTCCCCCTCTCTTTTTTTCTGTCAAAATTTTCCTTCCCATGAATTTACAAAAAACTCGGGAACAAGGCGTTTGGCCCCTAGATAAAAAATAATAATAATAATAATAATAATAATAATAATAATAATAATAATAATAAATTAATGTTTAGCTTTTAAACTTGCATATCAATAAGCCATCTCAAGTTGCCTATCAAAAAAACTAACTTTAAAGCTAGTTTATAATCCAAATTAAGCTATTTATATGGTTTCACCGAACATCAAATTGCAATAAAATAAGCTACCTTATATATGCATGATTTTTTGTAAACGACATGACAAATCGTAAAATATTGTCAATAGTTTATTATAAATAGTTAGAAAACCAATTTAATTAAGCTTTGCTAATTTGAATACAAGGGCAGGGTTGGGCAAAAAGGTTGCCTTTGCACGTTGACAAATTCTTTGAGGTTTGAGTGATATCTATTTCATGTGAAATATAAAGTGTTTGCACATTAATATGTTATCACACACACACAAGAAGCATCAACCAAGTGGATTTAACTAAATCTTTAGTAGCTAGTTTAAAAATTGGGTGACAATATGTATATACATAATCACCCATTTGTTTCAATAGTACATTTCAATCTCATGAATCAAATTTACAAACTTTAACTACTTCAAAATATTGCAATATTGCAGTACTTCACACAAATAACAATCTTTTTCTATAAAACAAACAAGATAGAGAAAGAATATGTAAAAGAAGAGGAAGAAAGTAAGAAGAGAAGTTTTGTGTCTTGGTCATATCAATACAAATTTTAACTACATTCACATTCACATTCACATCTTCTACTCATTTTCTACTTTTGGCTACCCGAAAGAATCTCCTTTTACACCTACACCCCAATCAAATAGTAGTATAAATCATTTCATAATCATGGAATTAAAAAAACAAAAACAAAAACCCTAAATCATTTCTTTTATGACTTAATCTGAACATAATGACTTAATGGGTTAAGCAAAAAACCTGGCTTCATGGATTAAGACACTTCTTTTTTCCTCTCACTTTAAAATCTTGAGGAGTATTGTGACATTTGTTTTTTGGAATGTAAGGGCAAAATGGTCATTTAGTCTCATTCAGACGTAAGTCCAGAAGAAAAAATAAAAAAATAGACCTTGTTTATGCAAACATATTATATTGATATCATTACCCATTCAACCACTTTACCCATACAAGACTTAATGGGAAAAAAACAGCTTCCAATACTTAATGGGTAAAATGGTCATTTAGTGACGATCATGATACCAGTTATAAAATACCTAATCATTGAAAGAAAAAAAAAATTGGAAATTTTGAAATATGAGAAAAGAAGCTACCTCGATTGGATGGAGCAGATCAGTCCCGAAGACCAAGTTCAACCTCAAGCTCATCATCTTCTTCAAAGAGCTTTAATAAACGAGCATACTGTTCTTCACGTTTCTTCTTTTGCCATAGCCTGAAAAGGAAAAAAGACAAACCCACAACTGCTGCAATTGCTATGCATAGCATCAGTATTGTAGATCCTTTCATGCCACTTGAATGATCATCAGTTTTAGTCTCGTTTTTGGACTTTGAATCATCTGAAAAGCCTGTTATAACATAAAAGAAAGATATTGTTCCTTAGTTAGTCTCAACAGATGAACAACTCATACATAGATCATATCATAGTCTTCTCCATATCTGCTATTACTACATTCTTAAAGCCTTGAAACAAATACAGAATGGACCATCAAATTCGTTCCTAATACCTCACCTAATGCATTATGAAACCATATATTCAGATACAACTCAACTGTTCTTAACACATACACAGAGAAATGTAGAAATCAGCATAAACCCTAGAACACGTACCAGATCACAATTTAGAACAACATACATAGATAAAACTAATTCGATCTTTAGGGCATCAAAACATCCCTAAAAGCTTCTAAAAACTCGAATGTTTACCGATTAACAAGCGTTAACATAAGAGTGACATCACAGAACGTTATTTTGATATAAATCGAAGTGATTTACGAAAAAATGTAAAAATGAGAAGAGTTATAAATTGATATGATAAACAAACCTGAGAGAAATTGTACAGAAATTAAGGACAATAACAATAAGAACCGCAGCGATCTCCGATGTGAGATCTCAGTCATCTTTCTATCTCTCTTGTCCTTCCTCTCTGTATCTCTCTCCTCCTTCCTTCCTTCCTTTCTCTCTGTTTCTCTCTCTTGCTTTCCTCCGCGTCTCCTGCGTGTGAAAATATCGATGCAAAATTACGCCATTCTTTTTAACAAAATGGCAAATAACCCCCTTTTCTTTCTACATATTACAAAACCACGCCTTCCATGAGTTCTTGTTACATAAAGTCACTTCATAATTATTTGTTTTAGTTTACAAATAATAAATATATGATCGTTAGGAGTCTTCCCACATATTACTTAGTTTAATTCAAAATGTTCCATCAGGTAGATGAACTTAAGAGATAAGAAGAAGATTTTTATTGGGCGGCTCGTCAGATACGATGCAAAATCAATTGGATTTTATGAGACAAAATATTAGCATCAAAAGGTGTAAGACGGTTAAAGGTGACGCGTTTAAAACACAAAATATTGTACTATTACTAAATGACTGTGGTGAATTAGAGCTGAAAAACAATCTTTGAGGTGTAAAGTTATACATGGATTACACAATTTTGAAAGAAAGCCGTGGAGATCTAGCGAAAAAACATTGACCGGAGTTTGACAAAAAATAAACAAGGTTCTAATCGACCTTGATAGCCTTGGAATACCCTTTGATGATATATTTTCTGTAACAATCGAGTTTCAGGTACTCTTCAACATTGGAATTGGTTTTAGAAAAATTTGCATTTTTGGTCCCTGAGTATGCTGGGCGTAACATGGGGTACGTTGGGCGTACTCCTTAAGTGGGTCGCGGGTGTTGAAGGCGTACGTTGGGCGTACCCATGAGTACGTCGGACATATGTAAGCAGACCATAAACCCTATAGGGTTTGGCCCCTATTTAAATGCCATTATGGACCTTCAGGCTGCCACCTCATCAACATCCTTCCCTCTAAAGACTCCCCACGAAACCCTAACATTTTCTTGTGTGTTCTTGAGCCTTGGAAGTAAACTTTTGGTGTTTTTGTGCATTGTGAAGAAGTAGGAGCTTGGTGATCAAGCATTGGTTGGAGTGGAGCTTGAAGATCCAGAATCCTCATCATCTTGGCAAGTCTCGAAAGGTATAAAGTTGCAACCTTGTTGATTCATCTATTAGATCTAGATAATTTGGAGTCCTTGGCATATTTTGGCCCCTTGAGTGGCTTCTTGTGAGTATAAGCTACTCTAGAAGCTTAGGATGTTAGATCTTAGTGTTTATGAGATCTCTTGTGCATAAAAATGGTAGCTTTATGGGTTTAACTCAACCATGCAAGGGTTGATGTTCATTTCATGAGGTTAGAGTGCTAAAGTTGGGTTTTGGGGCTTATTAAGCCATGCATAAGCTTAAAGCTTCCAACTTTATGGACTAAGACCTTTTTTTATAGTAGATCTAAAGTTTGGACGAAAAGGTCTTAAGGGATTAAGCCATCCAAAGAAGGATTGGCTCATAGACCAGTACGTCGGGCGTGCTTCCATGTACGCTGCACGTATGTAACACTTCAAAAATCACAATTTCAAAACCAATCATTAATCAACATTGTTTACAAAAAGAGTCATTGTTTCAAAAGCATTATTTCATATCAGAGTTTTCCCAAGACCCAGTGACATAAAACAGGAAGTTGTGTACGATCACGTCTTTGCCTTCCCACGATCCTCTGAAGTACATGAAATGATAAACTAAAAATTGTAAGCCAAATCTTAGTGAGTTTCCCCAAAGTACCAACACACCATATAATAAACAAGAGAAAATTTCATATATATCCTTCTAAACATTAAGTATTAAGTCAATGTCCTTATAAAACTTTAAATTACGTATATATCATTCTAAAAGTATAATATTTACATATATATATATATATATATATATATATATATATATATATATATATATATATATATATATATATATATATATATCCAAAATTTTATTTTAATTAAAATTAAACTAATATCATATTAAAAAATTTATCTAAAATTCCAAATCACAAATGGTGTTACTAAAATACCATTTCTAAATATAAAATTAAGATTAAACCATTTAATTAGGATTAGGGATTTGAAAAGCTTCAAATCGTGTTCTTTTACTCTTCTTTCTTCTCCTACCGTGGCTTTTCTTTTTCTCCCCTTATTCTCTGCAACATCGTTCTTCTCAATGAGCGGACATGCACGGTGGCTCTGTTGAAGCAGGCAGTCGGCATCACCCAAAGTAGAAGAAGAGAGGAAGTTCTTTGGGCATCCGTTATTAGAGGGAGAAGTATCTAAACTTGTTGAATGATATTTGCACAGTGAAGTGATTGCTATGGCCAAATCAATATGGGTAAAATTCAAATCTTTAGTTCACAGCCGATTTTAGTGTATATGTGTAAAGTACATTAGCATGAATATTACTGAAACTGTTTTGGTTTCAGGTTATTGTTTTTAAGTCTTTGAAAACAAATGGTGATCATTTTGTCTTTAGAAAATTAACATCCGAGCAATTCACGATATTAACAATATTTTCAAAACTTTCAATGTTTAATAATAGTGTATATTAAGGTTAAGTAACATGTCTGGACATTGAACATTACGACCACATTCACGTTAATATCATAGCCTTATCAGATTGTACATTCCTACACAAGAATGGGTAACTTCTAGTTGCTTCTAGTGGCGACCCTCTTCTTAATCTAATCTATCTAATAGAAAAACATCAAATGCAAAGCATGATTAATTTAGACAATGTAATTTGTTGAAAATTTATACAAATATCGGATACAGTGGTGATTCCTGGTGTCCAACTTAATTGACAGAAGTTGTAAAGGTTATATTTGCACTTGTTATGCTTTTAATACGGGTAAATAAATTATTGTGCTTTAGGTTTTTGCTATTACAATTTACACATGGTTGTAAGAGGATACGACATTACCTATTATGTTCAGAGTAAGAAGATGTGAACTGATTGCATTCATGGAGACGAGATACATGATGAAGAAGACGATATATGTACATTGAAGGCGCCTTAACTAATTGAAGAGATATACGTAATTTGGATAGGGATTTTTGTCACACCCCCAAACCAAGGATGGCGGAAACGTCCGGGGGTGGAGGACTTCATGTATAGTATCATAACAACAATTGTACTAGTAATTGAAGCAAACACAACCAACATATATATAATTGAAAAAGTGACATCATTGTATGAATTACATGTTTACGAATCAATTACAATATGTTGACAAAATATGAAATAGTAGACGCCTTAGCGCCCCATCCTCAAAAGCACTTGGTTACCTGTTTAATGATTTCCTGAGAATACAAGTTGTTTGAAAAAGTGTCAACACAAAGGTTGGTGAGTTCATAAGCTTTTGTTTGGTATTATTAAAAGCCTTTCGTTTGTAAAAGTAGTATTTGTGTTAGAAAATCCAATATTTTCCTTAATGTGTAAATGTAGTCTTAAAACCCAAAGACCGAAATGTACAAGTAATTTGTCATATTTATAGTAAAACAATGCAAGTTTAAATCGACATAAACTCGTTAAATTTTAATGAAGTTCCCGTAAATTCCAATGTTTATTAATACTTTATGTGAGTTTATTATAACCATACTATGACCAAGGTTGCCTAAAACGACGTTCTTCAGGCGTCGGAAATGTTATGACATTTGTCACCCCAGACCTATCGGTCTAACTGTTGCATGCAGTTTAGGTGTGGGTTTGTCAAACCCAATATAGATCTATACACAACTATCACGCTCTCCCTCAAGGAGACTCTGGTTACAATACAGGACTTAATGGTAATTTGAAGTAAATGTCTCACAAAGTCATTAACGGAATTACGTGTTATGAAAACTTGGTACCATATGGCCGTACCTTGCTTAATGAAAATATCCTTTGTATAAATGTACCCTTTTTAAATGTATGTGTTATGTAATGTATCATAAACTATACCTATTATAGTTTATCAACCAAGGGTAGTACGTAGTAATGTATGCAAACTATATTCAAAATAGTTTATTAAATGTTTGAATGTATCGGTTGTACTTTGATTATAATCACTTGTTATTCTTTATATTTTATATGTCTAAATCCATTTGTAAACTGATGTGTGTCTAAATATTAAGATAAAATGTCATATATTGCAATAACATATAATCACATAAAGATATACACCTTGCTCAACATGTTACAAGGTGAAATGAAATTGACAGCAACTTTTCGTTGAATACAGTTTCTGTTACTGTTCTTAGAAAATTTATAGAAAAATCATCAAAGCTCTAAATCCAAATCCGCAAATTCTGAGAGTTTGGAATATGAGTCTAGTTTGTTCGTAAATTTTATCATGATTTTTAGTGATCTCTAACAGAGGTGAAAATGTTCATAATCACAGACTGGTCCGGGTTTGCCTCTGAAATGATAGGCAGTTTTGTAAAAATCACCATAAATTGTAGAAAAATCATATGGAGATGTGAAAATAGTCATTTTAAAGCTAAGAGTTTGAACTACTTGCACCTGGAACAGTTTTGAAAACTAAAATATTTAAGTTGACCAAAACAGTCCGTGATCGAAGTTCATCTTTTCTGATGTAATCTGTTAGAAAAAGTTTAATTGTGTTCTTGATGATTTTACTTGTATTCCCCCCTTAAAACTTAAGAAAACATGTAAATGTAGGGGTATGAACTCACCTTATGTGTTCTTAGAGGATGGATGTTGGAGAAGAGAAGTGTTCAACTCAAAAACACTTAGAAGATGCCTTGACGAATCGAGAACCAAGAGTGGAAGAAAGCTTGATGATTAACCTTGGAAGTCTTGAAATTGAGAGAGAATGGTGTAGAAAATGAGTGACTTAAGCCTTGTATTTATACTAGTAAGAATTACTATTCATATATAATTCTTTAATAATAAGTGTTAAATGTTGACATTCTCCATATAACTAGTTAGTGTATATGACATATTCATGATGTAATCATGACAAATGTTTCTAGAAGATGGTTAATACTAATTGGCTAATAATAGTAATTTTTAAAACGTAAATAGTAAATAGTAGGTAGTAAATAGTAAATAGTAAATAGTAAATAGTAAATATGATGAGATTTTTACAATTGTCATATTTGTAAACCTCGTTAAGCCATGTT